AAAAATATATCAGCACACACACAAACCTTAGCATCAGCAGGGGTGCCAGCGGTCCAAGCCTCATCCTCAGGCTTGCTCTACAGCTGTTGTTTGGACTGTCTCGCTGCACACAACCGGCCGTTGACTTTTGACATCGCACATATTGGAAATCAACTTCCACAGCAACCCAACCATCGCGAAAAGTTGGCATGCTCACAGATTCATTGCAATACAGATATTTCCCAGCAGCGGGCAGTGGGCGATGCCTGTGGGTGCCGCACGGCCAGTGTGCCACATGCAGTCCCGTCGGTATCGCCAGCACGAGTTCAGCTCATCACGGGGGGTGCAAAAGGGGCGCAGTGCAACTCGGATACTACGATGCAGCAAAAAGCAATTCAATTTGCAATTTTTTTTTGCTGCACCCAATATCGAAGTCCCGCTTTTCCGGGCAGAGAAAGCCTCATCGTGTTTTTTGCTGTTGACCAATCAGCGTCTTTGGCCCCCGGCACCCCCCCGAAACTTATTTTTTGCAGGGCCTCAATTTAGGTGCAAATTATTAACGTTATAACAGGCCCTAACGACTACGGCATGAATTCATATGAGTATCCCCCCCCCCCCTTTCCTCCTGCTGTCTCAACGTACCACTAACGTCAACCCCCCCCCCCGCGCCTGAACAGCCTGTCCTCCGGGTGACAAGGTGCGCTACCCCTGCCCAGCCCGCCCAGGCGCCGCCCGGCGTACCGGCGGCGGAGGCGGAGAAACGCCGGGCGGTGGCGGCGGCGGCGGACCATCGTCGGGGTCTCTCCGCCGCTGGCACCGGCCTGCGCGTCCTGGCGCAGGTGCTGGACGAGATCGAGCAGATCGGAGGCGGCAACGTGGCGGTCGTGACGAACGAGCCGGCGCTTGTGGACCTCCTGTCGGTGAGTTTTTTTTTTTTTATGGAGATCCGGGCTGTGTACACATGATCGACGGCCCAAGAATCAATAAAAGCATACCCACGTTCCCACCTTTGGAATTCACATCCGACGGTATCTTTTTTTTTGCTGTTGCTGCTGCGTACGTATGTGTACAAATATTGATATGTACTGTATGATGAATTTGTGTGTTCTTTTGTTGGTATATATATTTTCCTGGTTTTAGCAGGAACATGGGAAAGAGTCGAAATCAATATAGGCCAGGGAGAAGTGTTTTTGAAGCCAGGAAACCAAGATTTATCTCTGCTGCCCCACCCCCTTTTTGTTCCTTTGACCAACAAGAGGTCGATTGCGAATACTGATTTGATTTTTTGGCATCTCGTTAATACCCGACCTTATGGAAGTTTTCTATCCATACATATGGGGCATTTTTGTTTTTCCGTCGGCGATACAGTACTTGACGAAGGACCTCGTGACATTTCTTTTCATGGAACATCATTTTTTTTCGATTATCTGACCGTACACAGACCTGTTTCATCCATTACCTTTTGCTGAAAGTTGTGGGCTCACACATGTTTGAAGCGGTTAGTGGTGACGAAGGAGTGCGGCGGGTTTACCACCGGGGATCATTCAGCCATGTTCATTATACCGCTTATCACGTACCATAGGGCATGTAGGCGCCAGATGTTCCAGATCGCACGGGACCTCGACCAGTTCACTGACCTGCCCCCGCGTTTCGCACCGACTCCCCCCCCCCCCCCCCCCCC